CCCCCTTCTTTTTCTTTTTCTCGTTTTTGTTTTTCTTTTTTTTTCATTGTTGATGGAATTTATCCTTTTTTTTCTTTTTTAAAATGTATTTATTTATTTATTATATTTATATTTATCGTTTTCATCCCAACTGAACAACTGGCCAAGCCCCGCATCTACTCCTCTCCCCCAGGCTTAGACTGAGCTTTCAGCGATCAAAATCCCGAATAAAATAGCAGTGGGGGCAGCCCCACTGCCAGGTTCTGGGGTTTAGGTGCTGCGAAGGGCCCGGGAAGGGGACAGCGGGGCCTGAGGGGACCCAGAACCGCCCGGGCTCAGCTCCTCGAGCCGCAGGCGCCATCGGGGCCCCGCAGCTCTCGCCCTCCGTTAGTCCCCATACGGGTGCGGGGACAGCGCGGCTGCCGCCTGACTCTCCCTCTCTGCAGGTGGCTCTTACGCGGTGGAGCAGGAGGAGAACAAGCGGACGCGGACGGCGTACACGCGGGCACAACTGCTGGAGCTGGAGAAGGAATTTCTCTTCAACAAGTACATCTCCCGGCCGCGACGGGTGGAGCTCGCTGTCATGTTGAACTTGACCGAGAGACACATAAAGATCTGGTTCCAGAACCGGCGGATGAAGTGGAAGAAGGAAGAGGACAAAAAGCGAGGGGCCGCCAACAGCACTGACCCCGAACAGGACTGCGTTGTGTCTTCTGCGGAGCTGCCCCCCAAAGATGATCTGCAACCGTGTCCCGCTGGGAACCTGCCCGCCGGGGCCTCCCGGGAGCTGCTCCCTTCCAGCATCGCCCCTCGACGGCAGCAGGACTCGCGCTGAGTCGCGGGGCCCCCCATGTCCCGCAGAGCCCGGGGCCCCGGGGGGACTGAAGCGGCAGGGGGCAGAGCCCGAGGTTTGCGGCGGCTCCTGCTCCCCCGGCCGCGGCTGCTCCTCGCCCGTCTCCCCCCGGGCAAACTCCGCTCTTCGCCCCACGAAATCCGCTGCTGCGGAAATAGAAGGTGTCTGGTGCCGCGGAGAGAGACTCGCTCCGCTCTTGGGAGCGGCGGGGAGCTGAGCCCCCTTCTCCCTGGGGCAGCTTCCCGCAGGGAAGGCGGGTCTGGGGCGGCCCCCAACCACCACCAACTGCAGCGCCGGGAGAACTTAGGTCTGGAAACGGGTGGAAATCCACGGAGCAGAGTCGGGGAGCCGGCGGGGAGCGAGGCTCGTGGGCAGGGCGCTGAGCACACGCGGAGCGCTGGGGAGAGCGACACGGAGCGAACCGAGAGACCCAGTTCTGCCCAGATCGGGCCGGCCGCCCCGCTCACTGGGAGCTCTCCGAGACATTGGCCCGGCTGAGGACTCCTGGCGGGGACCGATTCTACTCACCACTCTGGAAAACAGAACCTCTTTCTTTTATTTTATTTGTTATTTTTTTTCTTTCTATTTCGTTTTATTTTGCCTTCGGGGTTGGGAGAGAGAAAAAAGTCCAGGCTTTTGGAGGGCAGCGTATATGATGTTCAGCGTCTCCAGTTATCCAGACCCTTCTTAGGGGTTCCTCCCCCGAGAGACGGTTCCGGGACTGCCCGCGCTCCACGGAGGCACCCCGGGTCGCGCGCGCGCTGGGAACCGCCGGGCTGGCCTCCGCGATCGGCAACAGGATGGGCCGGGGCG